CATCACCCAGATAAAAGCACTAAAGTCTTGATATGAAGAGTTAGTTATGGGGAAGGTAACTTGTAAATGCAAGCATCCTAAATTAGCTTTGTGTATACAATGCAATTACTGTGGATGTTTTTGTGATGGTTTGTTACCTATTACAAAGTTACATTGTAAACATGGGGGTAAGCAACCAATTGCACTGCAAACAAGAGGAGTAGGAAAAAGTAATGATTTTGAGGAGAATGAAATTGAATTTCAGGATTGTAGTGATGCTAATGAATATCAGGATGATGATAATGATGGTGTGATTAAATCTCCAATTTTGAGTGACTCTGAGAAAGTTCAGAATGACCTTGATGTGAGTGCTGCTCCTGTTTCTCTGAAACAGCATAGAAACCATAATCGCAAATGCTCCAATTGAAGCCATTGATGCAATTGGTATTCATGATTATTTTGGTTTAGATTACAGCTCAACTAATAACCTACCTGGCACAGAAGTATGCCTATAGGTTGGACCTCCCTTCAGAGGAAGAAATTCATCAACTAATAACCTACCTGGCACAGAAGCATGCCTATAGGCTGGACCTCCCTTCAGAGGAAGAAATTCGTCAACATGTCACTGCTTTAGTAGCTCAGCACAAGAACTATGGGTCAATTCAGACTGTTCACAGAGGTGTTTGGAACCCCTTTAGAAACATTTTGGTAAACATAGTTGCTGAATCAGATTTCACAATTACATCTATAGTGACTTTGGCAAAATTCAACATCATTCATATGAGTGAGACAAGGAAATTGCCATTTATCCAACTGATGCTAAGGTTAAGTCATTCATCTCTCAATTGAAGAGTAAGCATAAAAAGCAAAACAATATAAGAGTGCAAAGCATTAATCAAGATTAAACTATTGGTTAAGTCCCTTATCTGTGTTAACTACCAGGTTTTGTACTGTTTGGTATTTTTCTGGTAGTGCATTCAATCATTTGTAGTTTTGTCATTTGTTTTTAAAACTCAAAAGCAAATACACAGATTTATTTCTCTTGACTAGTTAAACCCTAAAAATGTCTCTTTGGATGTTTCTTCATTGACACTTTTCAAGTCATCCCCATGCTGGTACTAAAAAACTTTAGCCTGACTCATGAGGGATGTCCTTCACATATCTAGTCTAAAATGAAGGTTTACAGGACACCTATTGTTTTTCATAGGATATAAAGAATAACAAATATGCTTCAACAACACAGCTTGAAGAAAATGGTAATGATAAAAGAATGAAACTTATTAAGCCTAAGCTTTCTGGCTGTTACCAGCTTAATAAGGTTCTTATTGTTTTTCATGGTAACATAAGAATAAACAAGAGTGACTAGGGATTGAGCTAGAATCAAAAGCATTACTGAAGATGAAATGTGCAAGTCCTTAGTATTAAATTCCAGTAGTGGAATGCCTCACATAATACCATTATTCTAATGTCACACTGATAGCCAGATCAATGGCTTCAGTGAGAGGAATGTTGGTAAATAAAGATTTAACATCAAAGTCGGCCACAAAGACAGGTTTAGAAAAGTTCAAATTCATTAACACAAATAGAAAATGTAAAGCTAAACCAAAAAGTATGATTATAACACACACATTATTTTAACTATGTCCCTAAAAATTAGTGTGTACTTGAATGTCCATTCAATGAAAATTAATACATATACTGGGTGTATTATTTTGTGTTTTAGGTAAGCCACATAAAAAAATTGAATGAGATGTGCTTCAAAAAATAAAGCACATTTTTAATGTGTTCAAAGTTAAGCCAACAAACCAATTGTTTCAATTTCTTACAGCACTAAAAAGATGTTTATGTTCTAAGTTTGTTGGTTATTTCATTCTGTAGCAAAGCTTGCTGAGCTATGTGTAATACCTTACTTCAAATTAGTTGTTTGTTTGATAGTTTAAGTGTGTGTGTGTGATAAAAAAAAAAAAAATAAGTTGTTTGTTTGATAGTTTAAGTGTGTGTGTGTGTGTGTGTGTAGTAAAAAAAAAAAAGTTTAAGTTTTAGAGAATAATAGTTTAGAATAAGTTTCAGAGAAAAAGTTCAAGTCTAAAATACAGTTTTGAAACTTGAGATCTGATTCTTCATATATTCTAAAACATCTTTAAAACATTACTGCCACAGCATTTTGTTTTGGAAACTTCAGTTTTGGAAAAAACAAAGCAAAAAATAAATAACCACTGACGTTACACTCACATACACATTTATAAATGTTCAATCAAAATATTTTTAAGATGGAGAATGCACAAAAATCAGGCATCTTTATGCTGTAAAAAGCTTACAAAAAATTAATTTAAAAATGAAAGCAATTAAGAACTATCATCTTAAAAGCTTACAAAAAACTAATCTAAAAATGAAAGCAATTAAGAACTTTCATCTTAACTTAGACTTAAATGTATTGGGTTATTATAATGCCCATAATTCAAAAACTAATCATCTGAGAGCTATAATTTGTAGAACTAATGAGACAATGAGAAAGATGGCTCCAGTTTAAAATCAAATATAACCAGATTGTATTTACCATCAAATTTTCAAAGGCAACATGTCAATAATGTTTAACATCCATTTATGTCCTTTTCTTGCATTTATGAGATAATGTGATACGTAGCTGAACAATACTACTCAATTTCCAACAGTTGCACATATCTTTGACTATAAAGGTACCAGGTATCTCACAGTATAACAATGATGTTGCCAATTCCTAACCAAGTCAGGAATCAAAGACAGAGAGTAGAAAGTTTAGCTGCTCATGTACATCTCCTGGTCAGCAGTTCAAAGATCATCTGTAACCTATAGGAATACAGTCTCATGACTTTCCAGACTGTTGATTGTAGCAGTACTTGGCAACTTGATTATTGCAGAATTACTCTTGAGAATATTCTTCTCTAATAACAACAGTCTTTTGTCTAACTTCCAACATGTTGATTGTAGCAGTATCATGCACTTGGCAACTTGGTTATTGCAGAATTACTCTTGAGAATATTCTTCTCTAATAACAAGTCTTTTGTCTAACTTCCAACACAACTTTACTGTGCAATGATAGGTACCATTATGAGTTGTATTACTACCCAATCATGTTTGTTAAACTTGTTTTATTATTCTAATAAGACTCAGTATGGTCTTCGTTTTCCATTGTCAATATAATCTTAATGCTGCACCAGCGTTATTACCATTGCTTTGAAAGAGCAATTCTAACATCTAGAGACAACCTTTTATTAGCCAATTCTAAAGGAAGAATGAATGATCTATTTTTAATGCTGGTTTTATACAATTCCCAGTATGCAAATTTCATAATAAACACACACTCATGATCATTATATTTGGCAGTGGAATCACTTTTCCCATTGCCTCTGTACTTTATTTACCAAATATTATAGTTTATTGATGATCAGCTTAAGTTATGGCAATCAAAACAGGACAATTATCTTATAATAGCCTTGTGTATCATAATTATCAAAAACTTATTTGTCCACATATATATTATCAAGGAAAGTTAAAATAATTAGAAAACCATCTTAGCAAGCAACAGATAAGAAGTAGGCAGCCCTTTTAGTAGTGGCGCTTGAGTACATTAGGCCTAGGCCTTGAGTCTTAGCATTTCAACTGTCACAAGATTATCATAATCAGAAATAGTCTCAAAGTTATGATAAATAAAAAATTGTTTTTAAAATACTTTAAATTATTAGCACAATATTACACGAGGGCTTCTACATATTAATAATATGCAAGTCTTTAATACATAAGCTTTGTTCATTTGTTCAGTGTAAGCAAAAACATTCCTTTCTGACAGGAGCATCACATTCACTTCTTGTGTGCATAGACTTGTGAACTAACATAAGATAGGAATGCTGCATTCTCACTCATTTTTTGATTAAAAAAAACCTAGTAATGGAGTGAATACAGCCTTTTGAACACAAATCAGTACTTTAAGCAGTTCAAGAAATTTATCTTTGTCCCCCAAAAATTATCACATTAAGTTTATTTCTTAAAACCAGAGATTCATCAAAGTAAGAGAGAACTGCTAGGTAGTCTGTAAAGATGCAGTTTCCTATAAATAATACTGATAAACCATAAAACCTTGAAGAGTAATAGGCACCTACTGAAGAAAAAAATAATAAAATACTTTTCATTTCAGCAACAAAACTTATCATTTTAAATGGAAGATCTGATCTTTTGCTTAGCCAGTGGTTGTTGTTGAAGTGCTAGTACCCATGACAGAGAACTTAACTGAAACTTTGAGAGGATTATTCTCAGATTCATGCAGAAGATAAACATTATACATATACTTAACTAGTTTTGTTTAACAGTTTAAGTACACAATAATGCTTAGGACAAAGAAGTTTGGACTGATTAAATTCACATCCTCAAACAAAATAAAATACGAGTAACATTTGGGGCAAAATGATCAAGGCTAATAGTTATTTCCAAAAACTATCACGTAACGTCTTAGTTATAAGAATGCAAGTTTTGAAACTGACATATAATGAAGAACAGATGAGTTAATAACATTCTACCAAATTACAATATTTTACTAAAATAAAGTTTATATGTGTGAATGTATATGTATATCTTTTATCCCTAATATCTGCCAAAAGCAACAATATCTATTGATAGTCTCTTCGTTTTATCACATAGAATACAAATTGTCTGCCACATTTTCTAGATTTCATGAGCAACTTACCTTAAATTGTATATTTCTTACAATATTTCTTGTTACTGATAAAATAACAATGTGCAAATTGTTTATGACATAACATAGATATGTAAATAAACCCATATACGACTTACTGCAATGTCTTCTACACTTTCTGTTACTGATAAAATAACAATGTGCAAATTGTTTATGACATAACATAGATATGTAAATAAACCCATATACGACTTACTGCAATGTCTTCTACACTTTCTTGTTACTGATAAAATAACAATGTGCAAATTGTTTATGACATAACATAGATATGTAAATAAACCCATATACGACTTACTGCAATGTCTTCTACACTTTCTCGTTTCTTGTCTTCAGATGTTTTACGCCTCTTAGATGTTGATACTTTTGATCCATTATAATTCTTCAAAGAAATCTGTTTATCTTCTCCTATAAAGCCTCGACACTGATCAGCCCCACAGAAACATTTCTGAGCTTCTTTCCTGGTTGGGTAGTAGAAAATTACTTTCAGAAGTTCTTAAACAACACACCAAAAATTAAATATTATAACAATTAACACAAAAAAATTTAGTTTATCCAGTAATTACAAAAAATTGAAATTTTCATTATTCTCTCTGAATTACCGCAACAGTTGTTGTACACTGGAAAACTACATTTCATTCAAAAATAAAAACAATCTTTTGATTATATTTTTTTATCTTAATATATTTATGACCCAGAAAGTTAAGATAATCTAAACAGTCTACTAATGGGATAACAGCCTTTCATGATCTTTCCGTGGAACATGTATCCTGGAGATGTAACATCAAGAAATTTCTTTTTTGTCCTAGTATTTATATTTTTTGCAAATATGTGATAAAATATTATGTATCCACACTTATTCCAGAGATAGATTATCACTGGAGGTTGTGTATTCCTCATGCTAAAGTAATTCAGATTATACAACAGTAGTTCTAATAATAACAAAACTCAATGAGATTTTCAAATAAAGTTCTAGTTTGTAAGAAATAAAGAGAACCTCTTCATTTTAATAAAATGTTGAATTAGTTTTAGAATATCCTTTTTATCTTTATTTCCTCATGATTTACGTGATAGTACTAATAACTATTGCAAAGTTTTGCTTCAAAATAATTTTTTATGTATGTTTATGTTAAATCTGTCCATTTACGATGGTAACACCAAATAATTTATAAATTAATAAGGCGTTGTTTATACAACAATATAAAATGAAACACCACCTTCAAAAATGCAAGAGTTCAGTTCATCAGATTTCAGACTGAGACCAAACATACATCCTATACAAATATCCTTTTCTGAATTTGACGTCAAAAACAAAATTCAATAAAAACACCAATATTTTGTGTTATAATGATCCTCTGCTAACAATAATTAAAAGAACATTTCCATATATAAAATAACTTTTAATAGTGCATCATATTTTATTTTATTGTGTTTTCACTTTTCCATCTAACTAAACAAAATTGTAACTTACTGTTTATGACTGGAATATCTTTCAATTTCCAAGGTAGAAAGTTATAATGTTTTTTCTTTCATCTGGAGGTTTATCTCATACAGTAAATGTTATTAGTGTGTGGTTGTCTGTATAAAACTAACCTGAAACTTAACATTACACAAAAGTAGTAATGATACACACTGAATGATTAACAGAATGTATTATCATTGTTCCTATGCAGCAACAGTAGTCTGTATAATAAAATGTCATCTTGAAAGAGAATGTAGCATAAAATAAGGATCAGTATTGAGGTAAAACATTTGATTTCTTCTAGATCAAATACAAATTTAGATGATTATTATATATGTTGGCAAAATAGATCTTTTGAGAGATTGTACTTGAACTTATACTAAGTAGTTGGTTTACTACTGATTACCTATATAAATAGAGCTATGACTTTTGTTGATTAAATATGACATTGAGCATGAACAAGTTTCAGATAGATCAATAAAACACATTTTTTATTAAAATTTCCACAAATTACTATGTTCTATAATAACTGCTAATGTCAACCAGTTAGTTGAACCATCTAAATAAAGAAGTAAATTTTTAAATCAAACAAAAATCATACTTGCATCTGTGATATCATGTATATATATATATATAAACAATACCTTTGAAAAATACCAAAGAGGTAGCTGTACACCACCATAATATCTTCCTCAGAAGTGTGTCAATAAAATATTTTTAATGAATCAAAAATAATAATTGAAATTTGAATCTTATTATTGATAAACTCACCCATATCTCTGAAATTGGTAATCAAATGTCAGTTCTTCGTTGGCTTTTACTGCTCGTCTGGTAAAAAATCCTATTCTTAATTCACCATTTACTGTCCACTAGAGATAAACAAAGAATATGTTTCTAAAATACAGCACAAGTCCAAGAATAGTAGTGTATGACAAATAAACTGGAACTGACATTAAATCCTTTTAGCACAATATTATACATAAGCCAATTCATTTCTAAAATTTTATTATATTGTACAATGTTTAAATTCTTTTGTTAATAACACTGAAGATTATATAGGCTGAAAATAAATCACCTTTTACAAATCTCTATAAGACAACATTTGGAACATTAACTTTCCAGTAAATTATAACTTGTCCAGGTAAAACAGTTTTTGTCACCAAAACTAAAATGAAAAAAATACATCTATGTACTGTGTTAAAAGTTCTGGGAAACTAATCTTGTATCAGAATTACCAGCATTTTTACAAGTTTAAAAACTATTGGACCATAGAGTAACTGCTAGATAAGAGAAATAACAGTTAGGTATAAAATTAGTTTTATAAACATTAACAAAAGGATGGAATATGAATATAAACCTCTAAACCCTTTAAAGACCTAATTTATCAAACTGACAGGCTCAGTCTTTTTTCATTGTGCAAACAAGCTAATAAATCAATTTGAAAGATAATTTAACTTTAAAAAAAAATTGTTGTTTCTGTGTTATGAAATAATCATATAATTATAATATGTAATTGTATGAACTTTTAACTTCTGAAAGTTTTGAAATTTTGTTGTGAATTTTTCAAAAGGCAATAAAACATACTTCCTTTTATCTAACTCTATTTTTTTGTTTGTTATTATGTGCCTAAAAACTTGTAAGTACATCCATAAAGTTTGTTTCAATAAAATAATATACATTTTTGTATATTTGTAATCTAAACAAAACAAAATTTATGAAAATTTGCATAAACATATACAATGAAAAACTTTAAAAATAAGTAAAACGGGGACTTGGTATCATTGAACAGAAAAGTTACTTTATACATCCAGTCAATGTTAGCTTGTTTGATGTTCAACAAACATATTTATGTTTGCTTTTTCTTCAATATGTCTTTTACTCACTGAAGTAACATTGTAATATGCTGAAACTACATAAATTCTACATGATCAATAATGATTCATAATCAAATGTCATTGCTAAACCCTAAATACCCACTAACCTAAAATATCATTACCAGAATTCTTGATACAGGAAAATATCTCTGTAGCTTCCAGTTGGAATAAAGCATAAATCTTGTGTCAAAATCAAGAAAAACATCACCAGAAACCAGAAAATAATCCCCAAGCATCTTAACTGTTTAAATACTGCTCAGTCTATTGCACCAACACCAAGAATGTTAAAGTTATTCAATTATTAGAACTGTGAATTTACTAAGTGTATCTTAACAAAATTTGGGAAACATTTAATAAGCTTAACAAGTCACTTGAACACAGAAAGCCAGATTTTTAATAAAGTATTTTAACTAGATTTGTGAATTTACAAAGCCTTTAATAAGTCAGTATGAGTGAAAGCTAATTTTCAAGCTAAGAATAAAAATATTTTTTTATTTTACAGTTTCATATTTCTTTTGCATAACCTTTAGAATCTCTTAAATAAATATCAGTTTTTCTTTTGGTAAACTTAAAACTTTGTATTTTATCTGTTATTTTATATACCCTAACAATAACTGTAGTGAAATCATCAATTTACAGTGAAAAGTTGAAAAACTTGAATAATACTTTTTTCTTTCCCTTTTTTATGCATAATTTTATCAAGATTTTCAAATGACTTACCTTCACAGTTTTGACTTTTTTTTTAACCTTTCCAAATTTGTTTTCTTTGAATTTTAAAGTTTTATTGCCTGAATTTGTACCACTTGAGTAGTTTATCCATCCCTAACAAGCAATAAATCACGGCAGGAGCCCACTAGTTATTTCTCATTGCACACAAATACTGCACTCTCTGGCATAACTTTCTAGGTCTCACTTTTCTTCACTATGTATGTTGTCCAAAAAATTCATATAACTTTCAAATATGCATTTTAGAATATAAAAAATATATCCATCACATGTCCCGAAAATACCATAATATAACTGGCTTTCTAAGTAAGCTACAAATAGGTTAAACACTTTCTTAAGTACTCAAATCACCTGAATACAAACAAAAAAAAGCAAATATTTCTGCCAGAAATTGCTTTATCGTAGGAAAAGTATAGTTACTTTTTCTATTCACTATAAACATGTCCATCAGCCATGTAAAGTTGATTAGATTTCAAAATGCAAAGACTCAGAGAGATGGGAGAGGCTTTATACCTCAGAAAATCTAGAAAGTTGGAAGTTAAAATTCTTGCTTATAATTATGTATAGTTTGTGTTTATATTTGGTTCAAAACTGCAAATGCCTACTACACAAATAATAAAACTCTGGTACCACATATTTGGAGCACAAATGTGTTTTGACACAAACATAAAGATTGAAAGTTTTCAAATATTCCTTTTGAAAGTTAACAAGTTAGAACTTGATAATATGTAAATTACAATTATAAAGTACATTTTGATGTCAAGCTTATTGACATACATTGCTAATAAAGATGTTTATTTAAATTTTGAATGTAGCAATGAAATGCATGAGGACCACTTCCATACTTCAATGGTTAATTAACTGGGAGCTATTTCTAAGTACAACCTTCAAATATGGTGTTATTAGATTACTTCACAACTTATAAGCGGAGAACAATACAATTAGGAATGATTTAACATCATTTTGAATCTTAGTTACTCTCTTATGAAATGGTTTTTAGCTAGAAGGTATACCTATTTCCACAGCTGAGATATTTAACCATTTCAAGTCTTCATGGGAGGTGTGTATTAGTTCAACCAATAAAATCATAGCTCACTTCCTTTGTAAGCTTGGTATGTGTAATTCTTCATAGTTTACCAATAACAGACAAGAAGACAATTAGATAAAAAGGAGAAAACGCATAGTATGCAGATCAGGCATCTACAAATACTACACAAAATGGAAGCCAGATATTTAAAAAAGAATTATTTATAAAATTATCTAGATAACCATTAGATAATGTTTAAACTATAATTTATACACTATGAAAATGAATTAGAATTATACATATTTTTAATTGAACTCTGAATGGAGATATGTAATTTTATGCTTTGAGTGACATTATGTATCAAACACAGATCATGAAGGGATTAACGAACAATGATGAGTAAAGAACCCGAGGAAGAAAGAACCAGTACAAATAAAAAAGTTGCTAAAAATAGTACACAAAAACTGTAAAACCATGGTATGTGGTAATCAAAATGTTAAACATAAGTACTTCAAATAACATTTCATGAAAATATTTGGCTTCAATTTAGCTAACAGACAATATTCTGATGTTATTGGAAAATAAAAAATGTTAAAACAAAAAAAATATATCCATATGGAGTGTGTGTGTGTGTGTGTGTGTGTGTGTGT